TTTTTTTTTTTTGTATTTTATTTGGAGTCAGGGTCTCATTGAGTTACTTAGCACCTCACTTTTGCTGAAGCTGGCTTTGAACTTGCTGTTGTGCTGCATCAGCCTCTGAAGTGGCTGGGATTACAGGCAGATGCACTGCAGTTTTAACATGTATATTTAGCATAATAAAATATTAATAAAGGGATTCAGAAGATATGGTTGGCTTCCTAAAGGGGTTTACAGTCTAATATAGACATGTCCCATCAATCTTCTTTTCAATTTTACTCACTTTGTGTTTCAAAATTCTCAGAGTTCAGTTCTTTTCTTCCTTATATTTTTGGAGATATTATCACATGACTTGAAAAACTTTCTCTGTATTTTTTATTCCTAAATTTTTACTCATCTTTCGGTTAATTCCTTGTCCTATAAGTATGACCTGTCTATGAAAATGTTTCAGTATAATGCCCTGTTGTCACCTGTATTAGTCACCTATGTATCACTGTGACAAAATATCTGAGATGAACAACTTAAAAGAAAGATTGATTTATTTTGGCTCATGGTTTCAGAAGTTTCAGTCCATATTCACTTGTCTTTGTGTTCATGGTCCTGTAGTGAGGCAGAACATGGTAGAGAATACATGGTAGAGCAAAGCTGCTCACCTCATGGCATCTCAGAAGAAAGAGTGAGGAAGGGGCTTGGGACAAGATATACCTTTCAAGGACACATCTCCTGTGGCTTATTTCCTCCAAGGAGGCCATACCTCCTGAAGTTCCACCACCTTCTAATATCCCATTAATCCATTAGATTATTCAATTGAAGAAGTCAGAGCCCATATTATCCAGTCACTTCCCAGAGGCCCAACCTCTGAACTGCAGCTGCATTGGGGATCAAGGCTTCAATACATAAGCTCTGGAAGAACATCTCAGCTCCAAAGCATAACATCACCCTGAACTCAACAAATACAAAGGTTAACATATCTTCTTTGTCCCCAAAACAGACATTTGCCAACTTCTTGCTTTTTTTATTGCAGAGCTTAACCTATCTTGAACTTTAAATTGCTAATTTTAAAACGTGAATAATCATAAATGTTAGTTTCTATTGCATACAATATACAACATAGAAGTTACAAAAAGCATTAGGTTTGGGGGGCCTGGAGTTGTGGCTCAGTGGTAGAGCACTTGCCTAGCAAGTGTGAGGCACTGGGTTTGATTCTTAGCACCAAATATAAATGAATGAAGAAAATAAAGGTCCACCAATATCTAAAAAAAATTTTAAAGTAATAGGTTATTGTTATTAATCTGTGCTTTCAGATGAAAGGACTATTTTAGACAAGAGTGGCATGCAGAATCCACTAAATAGGGGAAGGGTAAAAGAAGGAAGATAGCTAAGGTTTTACAAGTAGTAAAATAGTTAAGCAAAAACACTCTCAAGAGAGAATATGAAAGGAAAAGGATTAATGTCTCTATGATTTGGAGAAGAAAGAAGTGCAAATCAAATCTGAATAAAATTCTGGTCCAGGGAATCATGAGTAGATGGCAGAAATAAACAAAAAAGTAAGGTGCTGGATTTAAGTCTAGATTATGAAATGGTATCCAAAACCTTTAAAAGGAAGTGATACATAAGAATAGTTCATGGAGAATCAGAGATTGGAACAAAAGGGGTCAATATGCAAATCATGGCATCAGATAAACATAAGTGATCACAAAAGAATCATGGATTGTTCCAAACAGAAATATTAAAAGATAAAAGAGCCAATGATTAAAGCTTTCCAAAAATGAGAGTA